AGCATTTGAGATATAAGGGTTGCAATTTCTGGTCTGAAGTCGGAAATAGTCTGTTTTGCTGGAGGTACCTGAACACTGAAGGCGTTTCTGTACGTGCATTTGCTAGCGCATTAATAATTGGTGCAAATAATTAAAAGTATTTCTTCCAGTTTTGAATAAACTTCCACTTTCCACTTGATCTGCGCTTTTTCAGGTTCGACATGCGTGTGTTCATCGTTTTACTGGCAACACTTCTCATTATGTCCGAAGTAACTGATGCATCGCGTGAGTGACGCATTTTTGAACAGAGCACTGATTTGAGTTTTGCTTTGCAGTCAGCAGAATTTGTTTTACAAACCGTATTTGCCCGATTTAGCATAGTCAGTAGTTTATATTGCTAAATGTTTGCACCAGGATGCTCCTATTAAACGACTTATGTCGTCTTACGAAATTTTCAGTAAGGAAACTGTCGAATATCTTCATCGTTTGTTGTGGCTACGCTTATCATAGACAGTAGATAGAATCTTTGCGGCGAAAAGTATTCTTTCAGCATTAAAAGTTGAATCGCCCGACTGAAAACTTAACACCGAAATCCCATGTCACCTCTCGTCACCTGGGATGAACTTCCAGCTGATTTCGCTTCTTAATGCACCTATTCAAGATTTATGCTTATTTCGATGCATATACAAAAAGGACTGATCAGTAGCTTGTCCGGCATTGACATTGCGCCAACACAAGCCGATTTCAAAGCAGTTCTTTTTATTTTCCTTCGTACTATTTTTGTTTGACTATTATATCTGAATTCAGAAATGTTGGATTTTGGTAGTTATTGAAAAATGGATTACGTTCTTTTCACCTTGAGGTTTGAAATTTGTCAATGATATTCACCGAATGATGTTCACCGATTTTTCCTCGGTTTTACTCTGTTCCCTCATTGAATATAGCGGGCGATGAAAAAGGACAAGACCTGACGTATACAATTGATTCATATGTGCGGCGCAGAAGAGCCCAGCAGCCCGCCACTTTGAAAAAACCGGATTTAGGTGATGCATAAATTTGGTTTGGTTTGAATAAAAGTCACCCTACACGAGGAGAACATACATATGTACTTGGCATTTTACCGCTTTGTTGTATTGCTTCTTGACATAACCACATCTGGGTCGCCAACATATTGGGAATGGAACCACTCTACACGTAGTCGACTGCATTTTCTACAGTCAATGAAAGGCATCCAATAAGTAACCGAAATTTGTAAATAATGGCTCTGTAATCCGTGAATTCAGCCGGTCTCAATTATTCTGAACATTGCCGTCTCGTCACCATTGGCTTGATGTGCAAACGCCGAATTCCACCACTAATAGTTAAAGTGCAACAACACAATTATTACTCGCAAATTGTAAGTTACACCTCGTACACTGGGAATAACGTCCAACCGGTTTCGATGCCTGGTCGATCGTCACTGAGTGGCTTGTCCAGCATTGGAATATTTTCTTCCAATTAGGATCATAATTCCACTAGAATAGTCATTATTATGGAAGAATGTTACACATCTAATTCTCTTTAATTCCGCCATTTTATTTTTGTGACTAATATAACTGCATTCGGATATGTTGGCTTTCAAATTTTGGTGAAAATTTGATTCCGTTCAGTTCCGTTCCAGTTTTCTGTTCGTGGAAATTTCATGAGCTCTATTTATTTCTCTGAAAGTAATGGTCGGAGAAGACGGACACGGCCTGGCATATTTTATTGAAGCGGAATCGCCACGCAAACGGGCTGAGGAAACTGCCGCTTTAGAACAACAGCCTCCGGATGATGCAAAACACTGAACCCGAAACCACAAAAATTACCGAACTCGAAGCCAAAAGTAAATAAATCCTGGGCATTTTCCCATTTGGGGGACTTCTATTTAACAAAACCAAATCTAAGTTGTCATTCGATTGAGAATGGAACCACACTACACTTAGTGGGCTGCATTTTCTCTAGTCGATGAAAGCCGTCCAATAATCAACCGGAAGTTCTTAATAATGGCTCTGCAATCCGTGAATTCAGTTGCTCTTACCGATGCCGTCTCGTCAACATTGGGTCTATGTACAGACGTTGGAGGCCCAAATAAAAATCATGTGAAAGCTAGATATTTTAATGAATTTCAGTTTGCTTGATTTATCGTTCCGAGTGACAAACATATGCAAGTCAATCCATCATTCGGGGAAGTTAGTCTATTGAGGCGTCTTCCACCTTAGACCATTGTTCATAACAGCAGCAGAGTGATCATTCCTAAAGAGGGCTGCATTTTCCTCTATCAAGCACTGATACATCCTCCACTAACTTGGCAGAACCTGAATGGAGGAACTACTTGTAGACTAGCAGGTCTAGCAACATGAAATCAGATGTTTTCATTAGACTACCAGCCTTCGTGGACCAGATAATCTGCTATTCTACCACCGGAATTATAAATGAACCCAAAAGTGTTCCAAAAAGGAGACTGTGGTTTGCGATTCATATTTCGTGATGAAGCACTGCTCAAGTCGAGAAATGTTTTGGACAACAAGGCCGATTCTGAAGTTCAAGTTACGGCTGAATATAGGTATCCAAAATGCGATGATCCTGTCCGAGGGAGCCCTTTATACTGAAAACCGCGAGATGCTATACAGCCGTTTCACTTTCCTAACAAGAGGAATTCTTTCTATCAAATATCAACGCATATCAAGACATTTCATTGAAACACATGCTTTTTCATGTGTGTACAATTCTCACAGCCTTGTGGAAATAGTTGACCCATAATGTCGAATGTCCCACTCAGTACACGACCTTTGAATTGGTCAAATTCGAGTCGCCAAAAATTTCTTTTAAACATTACTTTATAAAAAACTTCAGTTCCTCCTTGAGTCTGTTTCATACCAAGTGTCAACAGAACCTGAGTTTTCTTCAAACTGCGAAATTGGTCAGACATCCTTTGCATGTCTGGGTGAAGCGAATTGTCCATTTCTGCTTGTGGAATTTTTCGAATTCCTGAGCCCAAAAGCAAATTGCGTTGCCAAATAGTTCGTCTGTAAATTTTCGGTCACACTGTCAACAATGTGTGAGGCAACAAGCGTCGACCACTACATGTGAGGACCACACGTGGAGACGGTCATCATTGCTGGATACTTATGAGCGTGAAATTGTGGTCTTAAGATCGTAAACACACTAAAACTCTGCAAAAACTCAGTCATATCGACCGTGTCCGTATCCTCACTCTCAAATGGTAGCCGAGGAGCAAAAGCGTATCCAGGTGCCGGAGAAATTCTCGTGATGGACGTGCCACGATCGGCCAGCTAAGTGGCCTCATATAGAAGAAAGCGTAACTGCATTTTGACCCATATTGCAGTATTGATTTTTCTGCAAGTGATCGTTTTATACTTGATGTCATCAAGCTTAAGAATACGTCCCATGAAAAATTTTTGTAGTTTTACAAATGGAGGTCTGATTTTCACCAGCGAGATATAGTACCACCGTTTCTTTGACTTCCACATGATTAGAATTTGAGAAAATCTCCGCCGTGTGGTTATGGTTGGTCTAAGCCCGTTTTCTTATGAGCTACTGTTCGTTTATCAGTAGTCACAGTTTGGGATTTTCAGTTTGCCGACCATATTCCGGGTTCTACTGGTTTGTTGTCTAACTTTATCTAACTTTATGCATTCTGCAGTTGTCTTCAGCTTCATTCATCAAGGAACTCACGCTGAAATCGTCGAGTTCAGTCAGTCATAACACTTCAAGCTTTTTCGGCAGCAAAGTAAACGACTTTGGAATAGTGAACAATAAGTACCTCTTGGTACAGCATATTCCGAACTCCCTGGTTAGCAACTGCGCACAATAAAACTTGGTCAATCGTGGCATGTAAACAGTCGAAGTGGCTTGTCATTGGACAAGGTATCCCGCTAGTCATTTCTTAACCCCGAACTACAACCCTATCCCGATAGGCTCCTAGGGTGGGAAGTTATCAGCTTGAACCGAAAGCTTTGAAGTCTCACGACTTGGTTATCATAATATGTCTATTAATGATACGTCTAGTAATGAATTCAGGTGGAGCTTGACAATCTAGGAAGATGCTTTAGCCGGATGGTTAAAACCATGTTGATATAAACGGGGTCAGCTGGATGTGCAGTCCACTCTTTAAGGCAATAGCTGCATATAACCCCACTGAAACATGGGGCGGCCAGGTGAAACATATGCAACTGATTGAAAACTTCGTAAACGCGAAATTTAGTTGGGTTTCAAGTGAGTCCTCCACAAAACCTAATTTGTTTGCAAATGAGTGCATTTTGCTAATGTTCAATTTCTGTTCAGGTAAAGCACAGGATTGACTTGATGATGAATTCCAAAATGGTCGAAAGAGGTCGAGGGCTTCCGCAGAGCATAATACAGCCCTATATGTTCTGTCAGAGAATGCTAAGCTGTCTCTCCCCGTCCGTCACCATAAGACGCAGAGAAAATTTTGGCTTTACAAATCAGGCTACCCAAACGAAACCAAGTGGCTTTCTGCACCAATTCAGTTGGACAATAGCAAACATGAGGGATTTAGCAGCGATTCAGTGAGGTCTGTCGTTTAAACAAATCATTTTGCGTTTGAAAGTTTACAGTTAACCACGCCTATCTGTCGTGTTCGTCATATTGGTTTGAGGGACGTGATTTATTTGCTCCAACGTGCTTCACTTCCTGAATATCAGTCCCCAGGTTGGGATATATGAGTGGAGAAGCACAACACCGGTTGAGATATGAAAGGCTCGATATCTGGCCTAAAATCGAACCTAAACATGTAAGGCTAGCGATGCGTGAATACCGAAGTCACTTCGAAATTATTATTATTTTGAACATTCATATATTGTCCAGCTAAGTAACAATGCGGTCGCTTGTTTTGATGGAAATTTCAGCGTCAATTAAATATGCATTTTCAGGTTCAACATGCGTGCATTCATCGTTTTACTGGTCACACTACTCATCATGTCCGAAGTAACTGATGCATCGAGTGAGTGACGCACTTTTGGGCGGACCAGAGATTTTATTGTTTTCCAGTATACGAAATTCGTTTTGCATCCGGCAGTTGCCTGTATTTAGCACAGTCAGTTGTTTATGTTGGTATATAATTACATTCCCATTTACATCGTCGTACAAAATTTTCAATAAGGAAGTTGTTGGATATCTCCATCGTAAATTCTGTCTTCGCCCACCAATCACACAAGGTGAAAAGTGTTCCGCATTACATTTTCGGTGTCCGAAATTTTATTGCATGACTACGTGTATAACCCCGAAATCCTACGTCATAACTAAGCACCTGAGAATAACTTTGATCTGTTTTCCTTTCTCAAATAGATTGACTTGATGATGAATTCCAAAATGGTCGAAAGAGGTCGAGGGCTTCCGCAGAGCATAATACAGCCCTATATGTTCTGTCAGAGAATGCTAAGCTGTCTCTCCCCGTCCGTCACCATAAGACGCAGAGAAAATTTTGGCTTTACAAATCAGGCTACCCAAACGAAACCAAGTGGCTTTCTGCACCAATTCAGTTGGACAATAGCAAACATGAGGGATTTAGCAGCGATTCAGTGAGGTCTGTCGTTTAAACAAATCATTTTGCGTTTGAAAGTTTACAGTTAACCACGCCTATCTGTCGTGTTCGTCATATTGGTTTGAGGGACGTGATTTATTTGCTCCAACGTGCTTCACTTCCTGAATATCAGTCCCCAGGTTGGGATATATGAGTGGAGAAGCACAACACCGGTTGAGATATGAAAGGCTCGATATCTGGCCTAAAATCGAACCTAAACATGTAAGGCTAGCGATGCGTGAATACCGAAGTCACTTCGAAATTATTATTATTTTGAACATTCATATATTGTCCAGCTAAGTAACAATGCGGTCGCTTGTTTTGATGGAAATTTCAGCGTCAATTAAATATGCATTTTCAGGTTCAACATGCGTGCATTCATCGTTTTACTGGTCACACTACTCATCATGTCCGAAGTAACTGATGCATCGAGTGAGTGACGCACTTTTGGGCGGACCAGAGATTTTATTGTTTTCCAGTATACGAAATTCATTTTGCATACGGCAATTGCCTGTATTTAGCACAGTCAATAGTTTATGTTGGTATATAACTACATTCCCATTTACATCGTCGTACCAAATTTTCAATAATGAAGTTGTTGGATATCGCCATCGTAAATTCTGTCTTCACCCACCAATCACACAAGGACAAAAGTGTTCCGCACTACATTTTTGGTGTCCAAAATTTTATTGCATGACTACGTGTATAACCCCGAAATCCTACGTCATAACTAAGCACCTGAGAATAACTTTGATCTGTTTTCCTTTCTCAAATATCCTACTCCACAATGATGCTGATTTTGAAGAGAGAGAATTTGCGGTCGATCCTTGCCCATTAGTGCAATCTCTCCATCTGGTGAGTATCTTATTGCCACTGCGCAAATCAAACCCACCACAACTTAAAGCACAACTAGTTCTTTCTATATTCAACCACTCTATTTTTCTGTGACTGTTACAACTCCGACCAGAAATGTTGGGTTTCAGTGTTTACAATAAATTTGATTGCGCCTCCACATATTTACGGGCCATATTTATCTATCGCCATAATTCGAGATACACCGAAAGGTCCAGAGCTTCATTGTATTTTCTCCTTTGAAAACAGGAAGCGGGAAAGAAGAACGGCTGATGGATGCAACTGAACAGGATTCGCAACTCATAGAAGCTCAGGAACCTGGCACTGAAGAACAACCAGCTGCAGAGGATACATAACACTGGTGTCGCTACCACAAAAAAACGTGATCGGGAAGAAGAATAAATAAATCATTGGCATTTTTCGATTTGCTGGATTTCTCTGGCAAAACCACGTCAAAGTGGTCAGCAACGGAACCTCTCTAATTTCGGTTGCTCTAAATATGTTGTAGTCGACTAATCGTGTGCAATATGCAACCGGATGTTGTAAATAATGGCCATGTAATTGCAGTATTCAGGCAAGTTGTATTATTCTTGACCCTACTGCAAACGATGTCAAGATCAGTACTCATATAGGATGGGACATGGTCAGTATACACAGCCACGTAACTAAGTTGCGTATGAACAAATCGAACAGCGAACTGAAGTTGGACATTGTTTTGAAAGGAGGATTGACTTCAGATTTGATAGGTTTGAATCCATGCTGTCCACTCTAGAATGATCGTATAATTTCATCAGAATATACGCGGTGAACCGGATCCTTGAACGGATTCCTCGTGACCACTTCACGCAATCGGCACCAGCAAGATTCGTTTATCCCTTAATGTTGTTGGACACCAGTTACGGACTCAAACACAAACAGATGCGCAAGACGTGTTGTCCACACCACTGAGTCTAGATTGTTACCCCCATGGGATCAACCAGCCTAATTCTCTAATTCATCGATCACACAATGCAGACCTCTGGTTGTAGTCAAAATATTCTTGTGAACTTCGGTGTCACTTTTTTGTACCGAGATGCGAATTCGGCTTTGGCACCGGAAAGAAGTAGATGATTTTTTTGGTGGTTCGTCATTTTTTAAGGAAAACCGGACGCCCTGGTACCCCATTCCTTCTAGCCGTTTGAATGATGTTCACGAAGAAATCTGGGTTCATCTTGCTAGTGGCTCCTTGCCCTGACATGTTTTCCAGATGTGCTGATTTTAGTGGCGAACATAGACATAATTAGCTTCCTCTCGATTGTTTTTCTTGAGGAATTAGGGATTTTCAAAATTAATATCGCACTATTCTGCCGACTCTTTGCACCAGGTCCAATAAAATTCATATTTATATTCCGCCATTCTTTGTTTGTGTTCCTAATATACCTACATCCAGAAATGTGAGGATCCAGTGGGTTTTGGAAAGTTGATTACGTTATTGCACATCCATCATTTTATTGTATTTTTCCGCAAAAGCGATCAGAATCCTGCCACTGTAGAACAAACGGCTCCATGTGATGCCATCACAGGACTCGTTCCTAAAAGAAATCTCGGTTTGCGAGCAGCAAATTCGATAAATCCTTTGCATTGGCTTCATGTGCAAACGCCAAGAGTGACCGAAGAACCCAGGGGACAGCTATATGGTTTCGTGAATCATAGTATACTTGCCTATCTTTCCAGGTGACGAACATATGTATTTTAATGTATCGTGAGGGAAAGTTAGTCTACAGAAGCTTCTGCCAGCTTAGCCCAGAGTGATCAGCAGCAGAGTGATGATTCCTAAATAGAACTGCATCTTCCACCATCCCGCGCTAACACATCTTCCACAAACTACAGTTTCCACTAGCTTGCGAGAACCTGAATGGAGGAAATACTTGTTGACTAACAGGTCTAGCAACAAGAAAGCAGACACTTTCATCCGACTGGAAGCCTTCCGAGGACTTGCTAATCTGCTATGTCATGAACGCAATGGACAAGCGGTCGAAAGTGGAAATTGTAGTTTGAGATACAGTGTACGTGATAAAAACCAATCAATTCGATAAATCTTTAGAATAACATTGCTTATGTCAAGAAATTTATCCAGCAAAAAAGGTTAAATTCGAATGGTTAGTTTTGATCCAAAATAAGCAAGCGGCAAGTAAATACCAGCAACGATATAAAGAAAACCACAGTCAATATGGACAGCCGCGTAATTAAGTTGTTTGTGAACAAAGCGTGCAGTGATGTCAAGTTAGACATTGTTTTGAACGGAGAATGACTTCAGATTGGATAGGCTTTAATCCATGCTACACACTTTAGAATGAACGTATAATCTCATCATAATATCCAAAATAAACCGTTTCCATCAACAGATTCTTCGTAATCACTCCACGCAATCGGCACTGGCAAATTTCACAAATATCCACAAAGTTATTGACCGCCATTTGCAAACTCAAACACAAACAGATGCGACAGGCGTGTTGTCCATACCACCGACTTCATTGTTACTTAAATGGTATCAAGCAGTCTAATTTTCTAATCTATCGATCACACAATGCAGAACTCTGAATTTAGTCAAAATATCCTTGTGGACGTCGATTTCGCATTTTTGCAAAGCTGCGAATTCGGACTTGGGAAAGGAAAACGAAGATGATACTGTGATTTAGTGGTTCCTCGCCTTCTTTAAGAAAAGACCGGATGCTCCGGGAACCCGCCCGTGACTTTGAACATAAGGCAAACGGAGCGTACATCCATTCGCATGAGCTTCGCGAAAAAACCCGGGTTCATCCCGCTTGTGGCACCTCGCTTTGACATGGTTTCCACATGTGCTTATTTTGCTGGTAAACGAAGGCGTAATCAGATTACTCTCAATTGTTTTCTTCGTGGAAATGGGAGTCGTTGGAATTAAGTCCGCAGCATCTCCTCTCATCCTTGTACCAGGTCTTTGTGAATGATCCTCTGGTACGGAATCAGCAATCTGCGTAGACTTTAGTTCCTGTACATGACAATAAATGAGTTCGTGACTACTAGGTTGTGCATTTCAAGACAGTTTGTAAAGTCTTCCTTAGGGAATTATGCGCTTGGTTTTCAAAATTCCAGATATGTTACTGAAGATATCCCAGATATCACTTCTGCCCGCTACTCCATCTCAAATGCTCTCTAATTCCCTCAGAAATATCATGCAGCTCACCATTGGGCTAAAAAGCGCCAGTATGAACTACGTCTACCTAATGCGAATAATTCACAAAAGATGCTACATCATTGAGGTTTGTGCGATTTTGCTTAGGTATTCCTAATAACTGTCTCATTTGGGTCTCAGTTGCTTTAACTAGCCAATCAGAACAATCCGATTATGAGAGGCATAGACGGGCAGACATCCAAATGCAGCGGAAAATGACTCTTAGACAATGGTTGGCTGTGTGCTACATGGCCTCAGTGGTACATTGACCATAATCCATAAGCAAATTTGGCAAGGAATGCCTAACCTTAAGCCTAAAACAACTATCGTGGACATTATGTCATATAGTGAGTTTCTCATAGATCGCATGCTTTCATTCAATTAAGATATCGTCGTGTCGTTTAAGCCGATTTGTATTGAACAGCTGNGCGAGCTCTGATAACTATTTCACCCAAAATGCAAAACGGGACAGTAGCAACCCTCGGGTTACAAAGCTGCATGCTGTTGAGTTGTCCGTTTGACTCTTGGCTGGTTTAACCACCGATTTAGTACAACTCAGGCTTATAGATTGCTGACTTGCTGCCGTTAGGTTGCATCAACCTCAATGGAGTGTTTTGACAAACATTTATGACTGAATTGTAGTTGTTTTCAGTGGTATACGTGTTATTCAGCACACAACAGTCGTCCGGTGGGACGAATTTTACGCATAGAAAGGCGAAATTCATTGACAATGTTGGATTTTGGCAACCCTTCTTCTTGAACGTTTGTTGATCGGGTAGTTGTTGGTCGGTCTGCAGAGGTCGATTACAGGCGACTTCACGATAACTAGCCCCACAACGATATCAGCTATTTTCATGCTATGCAAACCGTCGACAACCGACTAACGACAAATCATACAGAGTTCTTGGCTCATCCCGGTCAGGTGCAAGGCTGTGCCAAGAAAACAATGAATATTCAAGTAAAAACCACTTCACGCAATATGCGTACATTCTATTGTCAGATAGAGTTTGTCTAAATAGTCTAACGTGGCGAGGTTCCATAACGCTCAAAAATTCTTTTGACGTAACACGGAATGAAATACCATTTACGTGGCAACTTTCACGAACGGGAGTTCCGAGCTCTATCCAACAGCACGTATTATCGATTGGTACATGAGCTTCAAAGCCAGGCAGATAACTAAAACCATAACGGAAAACAGTGTTAGTGTGATGTAACAACATTTCGCCAAGCAATACTAGCAGTTGAATTTTCTAACATTGGTTTCCGGAACGTGATTTATTTGCTCCAAGTTGCTTTAGCTCCAGAATTTCAGTGGTCAGTGTGCGATGTATGGGTGGGAAATCCCTACACCAGTTGAGATATAAAAGCCTCGATATCTGGTCTGAAATGGAAACCAAACATGTAAGTCTTAGGATGCATGAATGGCGAAGTCATTTGACATTACTATTTGTATGAACCTTTGTATTTTGTCCACATAATTAACAAGGCGATCCCTGGTTTTGAAGGAAATTTCAGCGTAAATTGAATTCGCTTCTTCAGGTTCAACAGACGTGTATTCATCGCTGTACTGGCCGCACTTCTCATCATGTCCGAAGTAAATGGTGGAGCGCGTGAGTGACGTATTTTTGAACAGCGCACAGATTTGAGTTTGCCTTTGCAATCAGCAAAACAGGTTCTGCATACCGCACGTCCGTGGTTTAATTGTAGTCAGTAGTTTATATTGGTATATACTTACACCAGAATGGTTGTACTTACCTACTCACGTCGTCTTTCAAGATTTTTAATTTTTCTAATTATCGAGTATCTTCATCGTTTGTTGTGGCCATGCCTATCGCAGACAATATTTAAAACCTGTTCGGCAGAAAATTTTCTTCCAGCATTAAAAGTTGAAGCGCATGACTTAACACCATAATCCCATGTCACCTCTCGTCACCTGCGAAGACGGTTCAGCTGATTTCGCTTCTTAAAGCACGTATTCTACATTTGTGCTGATTTTGGTGTACTTCCCATAAAAAAAGGGTCTCCGGTTAATTCTTGATCAGTAATTTCCCCGGCAGTGCTGTGCCATCATTCAATCAGAACCAAATTGCCTCTACACAAGCCGAATTCACAGCAACCTATACCACAGCTAATTGTTCGTTTATACTATTTTTGCTAATGTTATTGCATTTAGATATGTTTAATTTCGGAGGCATTTAAAAAAATTATTCACGTAATTTTCACCTTGAGGATTGAAGCATTTCAATGACATTAGGTTGATTTGCACAAAAAGTTCGTCAGGCTTTCTCTGTTTTCTCACTGTATATAGAAGGCAACGAAAAAGGACAAGATCTTGCGTATACAATTGATCAATACGTGCGGCGCAGAAGAGCTCAGAAACCCGAAACTTTGGAAAAACCGAATCTAGGTGATGCATGAATCAGGTTTCATTGCAATAAAAATCACCCTATACGAACAGAACACTAAATACACACTTGGCATTTTACCGTTTTGTTTGATTGTTCCTTGACACAACCCTATCTGAGTCGTCGTCAAATTGGGAGTGAAAGCGCCTTACACATAGTTGATTGCATTTTCTACAGTCGATGAAAGCCGTCCAACAATCGACCGGAAGATCTTAAGAATGGTTCTGCAATCCGTGAATTCAGTCGCTCTTCGTTATTCCCACCGATGGTGTCTCTTCAGCATTGGCGTCATGTGCAGACGTCGAAAACGAGCTCCATAATTTCGTGAAGTCAATTTTGCTTGGCTGATCGTTCCGGGTGACAAACCTATGCAATTTAATCCATCATGAGAGGAAATTAATCTACTGAGGCATATTTCAGCACAGTCTATCGTTCATAACAGCAGCAGAGTGATCATTTCTAAAGAGAGCTGCATTTTCCTCTATCCAGCGCTTATAGATATTCCGGAAACACTTTGTCCCGCGAACTTCCTAGAACGTGAACGGGGGAATACTTGTTGACCAAGAGGTCTAGCGGCAAGAAATATTCATCGGACTACCAGCCCTCATGGACCAGCTAATCGGCTATTCTACATCCGGCATTATGGAGTAACTGACAAGCAGTCGAAACAGGAATCTGTAGTTTGAGATCCAGTGTACGTGATAAAACACTGCTCAAGTCGAGAAATATTTAGGACAAAAGGCCGATTCCGAAGTTCCAGTTGCGGCTGAATGTAGGTATCCAACCTGCGATGATCCTGTCCGAGAGAGCCGTCTATTCTAAAAAGTCGCAAGATGCTGTACAGCCGTTTCATCCTTGTTCGGAATCAGCAGGGCGCACCTCACATTGGGATGAACGACCTGTAGGGTGATTCTTCACTTCTTAGCAGACATTGGCTATACTAACAAAAGGAATTCTTCCTACTAAGTATCACCTCGTCTCAAAACATTACAATGAAACACATGTGTATTCATGTGTGTACAATTCTCACAGCCTTGCGGAAATAGTTGGCTCATAAGGTAGAAAGTCACACTCAGTACACGACCTTTGAATTGGTCAGAGTCGAGTCGTCAGGAGTGAAACTCCACTGAGCATTTAATAAACAACAAAGTTGTGATGCAGCTATTGCTGCCGTAAAACTGTGATCGATCATGCTGGAGTGGATGATCCTAAGGGGCAATATAATACAGCACTAAAGTCGAGTGTATTTAACCATCGAGCTGGCGAGACACTGACCGGCAGAGCAAAGAATTGGTGCTCATTCCGAGTGAGGTTTGCTATGCCAAACATACTTCGAAATACTCAGTTCTCTCGCGTTAGAACTTATATAGGCGTTTTCCTTAAATTTTGTTCAAAGCGCATCCTGTAACCAATACTTTATAGCAAACTTTAATTCTTCACTGGGGCTGTTTCATAAAAAACTTCAATCCTTCCTTGACTCTGTGTGATATTAGGTGTCAACAGAACGCGAGTATTCTCAAACTGCGAAATGGGGTAGACATCCTTTGCAGGTCCGGGTGAAGCGAATTGTCCATTTCTGCTTGTGGAGTTTTCGAATTCCTGAGCCGAAGCAACAAATTACTTTGCCCAAAATTGCGTCATCAATTTATCGGTCGAACTGTCAACAATGTGTGTGACAACGAGCGTCGACTGTCACATGTGATCATTACACGTGGAGATGGTCATTATCGCTGGATACTTATGAGCGTGAAATGGTGGTCCATGAATCACAAACCCACTGAATCTCTTGCGGAAACTCCGTCATATCGACTGTGCTCGAATCTTGACCCGGCAAATTTGTTGTATTTTCTAACGATCAAAATAGTATGTCATCACCGGAAACATTTTCATGATGCACGCGCGACGATCGGCCGGCTAAGTGGTCTCATATGGAAGAAAGCGTTACTGCATTTTGATTTCTATTGCATTTATGGATTTTGAGCATGTGATCGTTCCCGACTTGAAGTTATCACGCTTGAGAATCCGTCCGATGATGAATTTCATGAGATCGTTTTGCGATTTTACCAGCAGAGACCAGAGTTTGGAAAGGAAATAGGCTTTTTGGAAAATGAGATTGTGAACTTCCTTGTGAGGCGTTTGCGGAACCCGCCATGACCTATTGGCTTCTATCGAAAACGCCAAACGGTGCCGACTATCTGCTCTTCAAAGGGAAGGTTTAACTTTCTACTATGTTCGCAATAACTTTTTCGATAAGCTCCCAAAAGAACCGAGCGTCATGATCTGAGTAAAACCTAGCGGAGCTTGTGATCACACATAAATGAACAAAATTCACCTAACAAATACATCTGTAGAGAGAACGTTTGGCCTCTACGGGGGAGTGTGTACTTTCACTGAAATTAGCAGTTGCAAATCTAATAAGTGGATCCGTTAGAAATGACTGTCACGTGTCCCAAAAATTCTTCTTGAACAAGATATTTGCTTTTTAGTCTGAATCCCAACCAGTTAACTTATTTGACTTCAAGCCAATTTTTCGAGTGATTAAACCATTTGCCTGATATCATTTACTTTAACTCGTTGTATAAGATAACGTCTTAATCTAAACTGGATGTCATCTAGCGTCTACACACTCATCCCCATAGAATTTGTGTTCCAACCGGAATTAGGACATAAACTCACAGGTAGCAGGAAACCAAGGATCGTTTTGATACAAAGCTTAATGACTCGAACTGTTTCTTCACAAACGTTCGGTAAAGGTGGCAGGCTGGCTGATATACGCCTGTGCAATTTAGCTAATTTGGCAGTGTACCGCAAACGCCAGAATAACATCTATCCAAAAAGCAATCTTTCTAATCAGAGCCCTCGTAAATCAAGATTTTGGGAAGCGTGCCATACTTGATGATAACGGTTTATGACGGTTTGTGAAACGATTTGTTTTGAAACGCTGCCCTCCGACGCCGCGTTGATTCTCTTCTACAATATTGCGAACCCCACAAAACTCTGCACCATACTGGTCATGTCGTTAAGTATTTTGGCTTTTCATAGCTATACACACCCAACCTCACGGGTATCTGCAATAACTGTTGAAAAACCACAAAATCCCCGAGCTACAATTATCGAAAATGTCCCTTAATTTTCTACGCCCGATTTTCCAGCCGTTGTCGGTATCCGAATATCTGATCGCTCCTTTGTGCGTTGAAGGTTCATGGGATGCTTTACCGTTCCGCCATCTCCTTCATTTTACCTGAGAAAATCGAATCATTGAATGACGACTATTCAGGTACGCGGAATTTTCACCACCAGTCTTCAAGTCTCAAATGAATTTTGTTCAACAAATTGCAGTTTGCTTCAGTAATTATTGAATGGTTTCTCACGCATATTTTTGCAATCAGTGGACTACAAGCATATCTTCGGAGAGAAAACTGGCAACACCATTTGATCAACATTATGAACCTGGTCTCGCACTGCGAACCGCTAATTTAAGGCAACCAAAATCAATGAAAATTGCATCAGATATCTCTGTGTACGAATCGACGGTGAGGTGGATATCTGCTTATGCTAACTTACGCTTGTGCACCTTGCCAAATAGGTGGCACTCTGGCCAACGAAGTATTCAACTGTGACCTCATTCGCCGTGAATTCTTTAGACTAAATCATGTAGCCCGCATATCTTTCCACTGCTTCAATTCACTTTCAGCCATATCGTTTACTCACCTGTGCATTAACCTCTGAAGCACCGCTCCAGTATGACAGGATTTCAACCGACCAGGATATTGTCAATCTCCTGCGTTCTCCTGAACCCCAAACGCCAACCGATACCGTAGCAACCTGCGCGTAATGAGGCTGCATACATTGTAACGGTGATACTACTGATGGTCGAGGCATGCAAGTTGTATGTCTCCTCATTGTAAATTCGCTTTGCGTCTCTTGTAATGGGAGACCTGTTGCGGAATTTACGGAGTCGCTTTGAAGCGTTTGCTTGGAGTTGAGATACAGTCGATGAATATCCAGGAAAGTTCAGGAAGACGCTTCAAGAGACCGTGAATGTTCATTGTTTGTAAACAAGATGCAAATGAGAGACCTTTACTTCCCTGTCGAATAGTCTGTAACTGGTCAGTTGGCATTTTCTAATAAATAAATCTGCAGCAAAGGCCTTCTTCCTCTCATTTGTAGCCGTCTCGAGGATAAGAGTGAAGATCCCTTGGGGCTTGTTTGGACCTTCTCGGATGACTTTGAGAATGCGGGGCTGCTGGATTGGAAACCGAAGGAGGCAATTTGGCGACGCTGAAGACCCATCTCAGGGGCCGGACGAAGGCGGCCTTGGATGTGGCCAGATGGGGCCCTCGGACGACGGTTTGTGCCGCCGCGAAGGAAGTCCTTGCAGCGTAGTTTGACACTCCGGTCGACCACCAGGAGGCTATGAGGCGGTTTAAGACGGCCAGGATGGCACTTGGATCTAACCCGACCATGTTCTTCGCCGCCCTGCAGCAGTCGCTGGATCGGGCTTTGCCGAGACTGGACGGAGTGTCGCGCCACCAGTTTCTTCCAACCGGTTCGTCGAAGGTGTGTTTCCAAGGCTCGATGCACAATTGCGGTTGGTGCGAGCAAACGGCAGTTGAGTGTCGAAGAGCTGGTGTGTCTTGCCCTGGAACTGCTCGAGGCACCACTGGCCAATTTGCAGTCGCAGGAGAGGAGGAATGGTTCACCAGTGGAGGAACTGCAGACCAGGGTGGAACAACTCGCGGAACAGCTTGCAGCCGTGAAGAAGGAATCGCGGAGGATCGCTCGAACGAGCCCGTGCTACATGCGTGGTAAGCCTGACCACTGGAAGAACCATGGTCCCCGTACCCGATCACCTGTAACTAATAAAATTTTAGAGTACTCCTCTTTTCCTGGGTGGGTCGCAATTAGCGCACTGACGTAAGCTACCATACAGGCCATTATCGAGATGGACGGAAGGAGGGAGTTATGTTTGGTTGATACAAGAGCAGGTATGTCGCTGAGGCGGAGATGGAACCAAGCGGAACGCAGACCTTGCGCGCTAGCCGTGAGAGCTATGGGTGGATGTCGACCGAAGATTGACG